AATAAACTTGTTGGTCTATTAGGTCAGGATTGTTGTTAACTCTTAATTCTTAAAATTAGCCCATAACTCATGTCTGTGATAGCCATGTGGCTTGGTACCTTTTATTAGGTAGTTAATCTTTCTTCCTCCCTGTCTGGATGACAACTGCAGATTGAGACTTTCCTCTTCCCAGAATTCTCCTGTTTTCATTGCCCCATAAATACTTACCACCTGGCTATTGGCCAGTTAGCATTTTATTAAAACAATACAAGCAACAAATCGTTACTGGATAGAAGACCATTGTCCCACCGCATTTTGCCCCTTTTTTTCCAAGCAAAAACTCTGAATCTAATCACCTTTGTTTAGCTTTTTTCCTGACCATTATCCATAGCAACTTGTAACCAATACTCTAAACAAAGACAAACATCCTTAATCCAGTAATTTTGCTCACAATCCCAGAATACAGTCTATCATTTAGGGATGTTGAAGGTACCAGGAACTTGAAGTAACTGGTCACATGACATCCACTGTCATGCACAAAGAACCACAGATTAATGCATGCATGCCAGTGCTCGTCTTGCTCTTGTCTCTTTTATTCATTTTGTCCAGCCTGTGCAAAGATGCTGTTACATTTAGGAAGGGTCTTCCTACCTCATTTAAGTCAAATGGAAAAACACCTCACCAGCACGTATGCAGGCTAACCTAATCTAGACAATTCTTTCTTAAGTGCCCTTCCCAGGCAAGAAGGGCATGGGCCTCATGGAGTGGGAGGAATAGGCAGCTGTGAGTTACTGGGCATGCATTCTGGGAAATGAAATCCAGGTCCTGTAGTGATGAGGCAAGGGCAGGCCTGTTTTTCATCCCGTCCGGCTCCCACACGGTTAGCTTTACACCCAAAATAATTACACAGAAACTATATTCCTTTAAACACTGCCTGGCCCATTAGCTCTAGCCTCTTCTTGGCTAATTCTCACATCTTGCTTAACCCATTTCTAATAATCTGTGTAGTACCACGAGGTGGTGGCTTACCGGGAAAGATTCAGCATGTCTGACCTGGCGGGTGGCTCCATGGCATCTGACCTCACTTCCCTCCTTCCCAGCATTCTGTTCTGTCTACTCCACCTACCTATGTTCTGACCTATCAGGCCAATCAGTTTCTTTATTAATTAACCAATGAAAGCAACAGATAGACAGATGACTGCCACGGACCGGCTCAGGGGAGCCACTCAGACTGTGGGAGAAGCAGGGTCCTGGTAACAGGAAGGCACAAGTTCGGCGAATGACAGACAGACACAACACACAAGAGAGTGGTTGGAATCTGCTGCGATTTTACTGAATTCATGTTTTCACTAATATAGTATTCAAACAAAGAACAAATCAGAAGGTCATGTGTCATTGGTTGGCACAGTATGAAAGCTTCTTTTAGTCACATCAGCAATATTTAAGAAAAGTACATTGTCAGGAATAGGTGTTAGACATAAAGCATCCTTAGAAGAGGAAATCTTGTCCTTGGGACTGTAAACCTCAGACAAGTGGTTTCATCTTATGAATAGAAAGTTTCTGTCTCATTATCGCTATCATGGCCCTTCCTCTTCCTAACCCTTTATTTCATCTAGTGACCAAATATACCTAATCAGTTCTCTGCACCTGCTGAAATATACTTTTTAGTACCTTCTTATGCAGCAGACATCATGGGGGTTGGGATCTAGAAAGCCTATCCATAAAGTTCAAAGTATAATATAACGGTCTTTGTCCATCAACATTAACCCATCTATTCCCTTGCTCATCACACACCCTGTGTATAACAAAGGTTCTGCTGTAGTCTTATACATTCCCATACTGTGCTTTCCTATCCCAGAGCTGTTTCTGAAGAGAATGATCCTTGTCTTGTATATATATAGAACATCATTATTATAAAAGAGATTGTGCAAAGCTCATATCCCGCATAGCCAGATAATCGAGAAACCTGTCTATGCCTCAGCTGTGGCTAATACCAGGCTGTCTGCCATTGACCTCCAGGAAGCCTAGTCCCATGGGACACGTAGCTCCCGTCTGGCATAATGACATATGTCATGTCACACAGACGACACTGGAGTTGGTGTGGCAGATGACCCTCCTCAATCAAGGTCCTCTGCAAGAACAGCAAGAGTTCTTAACAATGGAGCTTCAGACTTCCACACTGCCTCCACTTCCTCCTGCTCCCCCTTCTTCTTCTTTTTTTACCCAACATTTTGAGGGAGACAGTTGGTTTTTGTGAGAACAGGTAAATTTCAAGCTGACAGGGGTTGCCTGTCAAGACAAAACAGAGAAAACTGGGGGATAGTGTTTGTTGCTGGGTAATTGTTTGTATAGCCTGGCTGAAGTCTCTAAGATGGGAACATAGAAACTTGACAGTGTGATTTGTACATCAGCTGATGAAAGGAGAAACTAAGTCCTGCCCTTTTTTCATTCTCAGTGCAGCTCATGTGCCTTTAAGATAAGTCTCCTAAGGAAACAGGGACATATGGAATTTTTTTATATCCAAATCAAGCACAGCAACATCATTGCAAAAGGTACATTTTTCCCTACAATTACCACCAGTAGGAGAAAGATTTCCAATCTATCCATTATTTATTATTTTTAGAAAAGAAAACAAACTATCTTTTCTCATTACACATATCAATCCAAGTTCCCACTGCCTCCCCTCCTCCCATTCCCTACACTTACCATCCCCCACCCTCCATCCACTCCACAGAGAGGGTAGGCACATTGCTTTGAAGAAAGACCATGGCCCTCTCTACTATATCTAGGCTGAGCAAGGTAGCCATCCAAAGAGAATAGGTTCCCAAAAGCCAGTACATGCAGTAGGGATAAATTCTGGTCTCACTGCCAGTGGCCCCGCAGTCTACCCCAGCCAAGCAACTGTCACCCACATTCAGAGGGACTAGTCTGTAACTACTCTTGTTCCTTCCCTGTCCAGCTGGAGTTAGTGAGCTCCCATTAGCTCGGGTAGACTGTTTCAGTGGGTATACCAATTATGGTCTTGATCTCTTTGCTGATATTCTCACTCCTACAACTCTTCAACTGGACTTTGGGAGCTCAGTCCAGTGCTGATGTGGGTCTCTGCCTCTGTTCCCATCAGTTGCTGGATGAAGTTTCTATGATGACATTTAAGATATTCCTCAGTCTGACTACAGGGCAAGGTCAGTTTAGGCACCCTCTCCTCTATTGCTTAGGGTCTTAACTGGAGTCATCATTGTGGATTCCTGGTAAGTTCTCTAGAGTCAGGCTTCTTGCTAGCCCCATACTGGCTCCCTCTATCATGATATCTCTTTCCTTGTTCTCATCTATGTCCTTCCTCCATCTTGACTATCCCATTCCCTCAAGTTCTCCTCAACCTTCCCCTTCTCTTTTCCTCTTCCCCTTTTAACCTCTCTTTTCTTCCAACCCACATGTGATGGAGGAAGGTCATTGGTTAAAAAATAAAGAAACTGCCTTGGCCCATTTTATTGGTTAGAACATAGGTGGGTGGAGTAAACAGAACAGAATGCTGGGAGGAAGAGGAAGTGAGCTCAGAGACGCCGTGTTCCCCTCTTCCGAGCAGACACGATAGCTCTGCTCTCTGAAGCAGATGTGAGGGAGCAAGCTGCCAGGTCAGACATGCTGAATCTTTCCCGGTAAGCGCACCTAGTGGTGCTATGCAGATTATTAGAAATGGGTTAGGCAAAATATGAGAATTAGCCTGTAAGAGGGTAGAGCTAGTGGGCCAAGCAGTGTTTAAAAGAATACAGTTTCCGTGTAATTATTTCGGGGCATAAGCTAGCCAGGTGACCAGGAGCTGGGGCAGCAGGAACACAGCCCACAGAATGGCGCCCAACATGTGGACAACTGAATCCACTGAAAGCCTGAGAAAGCTTGGGAAAGAGTAAAGCATGTTTTCTTGGTAGCAGCGATTTCTCGGGTCTGCTCTGCTTGCTAGAAGCAAGCAAGCGCTCTCATCTAAGAGAGGCTTCCTGACTCAGCTTCAGCTGCAAAACCCTGCAGCTCTTAAGAGGTCCTGCCAAGAAACATTTAAATGGTGTTGATAAAAGCCGACTGAATGCTTGTTTGTTTTCAGCTGTAGCAGGAAAAGAGTTGTGCTGTTTTAAAATGCTGGCTTTCTGGGCCATCCTGCCAGGGCAAACTCTGACTGTTGAAGGCAGGAGGGCCAACTACAGAGAGGGGACTTGTGTGTTGTCTGTGGACATAATGCTGCAACTTATTTGCTGGCAAGGACCTTGAAATGCCATAGAGTTGTGGCAGTAAACATGGATACAGCCAGTACCTCAGCCATGAGGCTGGAAAGCTAAGGAATGGACTGGATCTAGCTGGCATAGCCACGGCTTTAATCCTACTGATATTGCTTGCTAAATTAAGGACTCATGTGGTCAAAAAGGAGACATATACAGTAAAAGAAAGATTCAAAGTCAAAGAAAATTTTTAAATTGTTTACACTGTGTTAAAAATATATGCATGCTAAACGTTAAAGTTCTTAAAGTAAAAAAAAAAAGGGAAGAAAGAGAGTAGTTGGGTGTCGTAGTACACACCTTTAATCCCAACACTTGGGAGACAGAGGTAGATTGACCTCTGAGTTGAACTCTGTGACTTCAAGGTGTGGTAGGACACACCTTTAATCCCAGTGCCTGGGAGGCAGAGACAGAAGGATCTCTGAGAGTTCAAGGACAGCCTGGTCTACAAAGTTATTCCAGGTCAAAGATATACAGAGAATATAAAATATAAAATAAAAGTAAAAAGAAATGAAATAGAGGTCAAAATACAGCCATACAAAAATGGAAAATACACAGAGAATCTTGATACTGTATGCTATTATGCTCTCTTTGAATTGTTTGAATGCTGAGAAAAGAGCAACAGCTGCTAAAAGATATTTGTTTATAAATGCTGCTGAACTAATCCAACATAGATATTTTGAAAATGCCTTGACTTTAAAATTTGGATCTGGTCATAGCCACGGAGGCGGAGCAGGCGCTGTGGCAGGAGGGAAGATGGCGGACGAGGAGAGGCTGCCGCCGGGCTGGGAGAAGCGCATGAGTCGCAGCTCTGGTCGGGTATACTACTTCAATCACATCACCAATGCCAGCCAGTGGGAGCGGCCCAGTGGTGGCAGCAGTGTTGGAGGCAGTAGCAAGAATGGCCAGGGAGAACCAGCCAGGGTGCGCTGCTCGCACTTGCTGGTGAAACACAACCAGTCTCGGAGGCCCTCATCCTGGCGGCAGGAAAAGATCACCAGGAGCAAGGAGGAGGCCCTGGAACTGATTAATGGCTACATCCAGAAGATTAAGTCAGGAGAAGAAGATTTTGAATTTCTGGCCTCACAGTTCAGCGACAGCAGCTCTGCCAACGCCAAGGGAGACCTTGGTGCCTTCAGCAGAGGTCAGATGCAGAAACCGTTTGAGGATGCAGCATTTGCTCTATGGACAGGGGAGATGAGAGGGCCAGTGTTCACAGATTCGGGCATCCATATCATCCTGCGCACAGAATGAGGGCAGGCGCCTGGCCAGCCAGCCCATGGACGCCCTTCCTGCTACTGTCACACAGTATTTATTGTTCCTGAAATGGCTGGGAGAGGGGCTCTAGATAGTAACTCTGAGCTTCCTACTTCCTGTTTGACCCCATTTGGGGTTGTCCTAGCCAGGCTTCTTCTGAAGGAATCAACTTCAGAAGGGCAGTGTGGGTATGGAAGCCCCAGGCTCAGGGGGTCAAAGGTGACCTGACACCCAGGTCTCAGAGGCAGGCAGGAGGGACTTGTTTCTTGTTAGTTTTATGCTCTGTTCCTCTGTTCAGTTGCAAAAAGCAGACGCTGCACACCTCAGCCTCAGGTGTGATGCAGCGCCCATGCACCTCCATTAAATCTGGAACCACTGAAAATAAAATAAAATAAAATAAAATAAAATTTGGATCTAAGGATATGATACTTTGGAAAAGAGATTCTTCTTTTGTTTTCACAGAGGATGAGACCCTGTTCATTTCTTTTATTCCGATATGGTATGATGGACCACGCCCTCCTGAAGGGTTGCTGTGAACACCTTCAAAAAATTACTTCTCTTGACTGCTGATTGAGATGAATCTAGCACACAGGTTATCCCATAAAAGACCTAAATAACAGCGCCCCAATTCAGCAGAAAGCAGTTTGGAGAGAAAAAACTGAGTTTATGTTCCCAAATATGGTTTATAAATGTTCTTTTACATTTAAAGGGGGATATGATATAGGTATGAATAATTTGCATTAATATGGACTTTGCTTTAGTGATTTAAATTTAAGGTCAATTTTGTTATTGTAAATGTATTTCTGATCTTGATTAAGGTATTGTGATTGTGTAGTCCACTTAAAATGTAATGTATATAGGTTGTTAATGGATAATCATCGATAATAGTCAAGTTTGTAGTCATGTTAGTTAAGATTTTCTAGATGTACATAGATATATTTTAGATAGGGATTCATCATATCTTTCAAAGATTATAGAACATGGCATTTTAAATGTTTTAATAACTTAGGACTTTTCATGACAGTGAGACACTCTGCTCCTGGCAGCACCAATCTACTTCAAGAAGAAGATGGGCATCGAAGAGGATCCTTATGGAGTTGGATAGCTATTTGGGCAAGAAACTGCTCTTGCCTGGACTATTGCATAAACTGGACACAGAGAACCCGCAGAGAGAAAACTACTGAATCACTTGCCTAAAGGTGAGATGATATTTCGTGGTTCCTGATTCATGAAAGTGTCTGCGAGACATTCTGCAGGACACAACAGATAGTGACTGAACTGACTTTGAAATTTCCTGCTTCATGGAAATGTCTTTGGATACTATGGGCCTGTAGGCCAAAGATGGACGCCCCAACGGTACAGAGAAACTTTGGGTGACTGTCAAGGCAGCGAGATGTCTCTGTCATTTCTAGAGTTTGAATGTTGCTTTTTTCTTGTTTGCTTAGGTAATATTGTATCTTTCTGGAGTCATTGATGGAGTTGAAGAATAGTTAGTTATAGTTTTCTTTAGTTATGATAAAGATTATTGTAATTTTTACTTGATAACTGTTTTGTTCTATGTAATTTTGCTATGTTAAGTTAAAGTCTTCCTTTTTTGTTTAAACAGAAAAAGGGGAAATGATGGAGGAAGGTCATTGGTGAAAAAAATAAAGAAACTGCCTTGGCCCATTTTATTGGTTAGAACATAGGTGGGCGGAGTAAACAAAACAGAATGCTGGGAGGAAGAGGAAGTGAGCTCAGAGACGCCATGCTCCCCTCTCCCGGGCAGACGCGATAGCTCTGCTCTCTGAGGCAGACGCATGAAGCTCAGACCCTGGATGGACATAGGCTAGAATCTTTCCCGGTAAGACTGATGCTACACAGATTATTAGAGATGGGTTGATCGGGATATGAGAATTAGCCTGTAAGGGCTAGAGTTAATGGGCCAAGCAGTGTTTAAAAGAATACAGTGTCCGTGTAATTATTTCGAAGCATAAGCTAGCAGGCGGCCGGTGTGCTGGGGACGCAGCCCCACCGGTCCTATTACAACACACATGCTTCCAATTTTGGTAGGAGATCTTGTCTATTTCAATTTTCCAGGTAGATCTATACATGTTTGGGGGGGGGGGTTGTTCATTTGTTACTTAGCTTCTCTAGGATGATGAACTATAGACTCAATATCCTTTGTTTATATCTAGTATCCACTTATGAGTGAGTACATACCATATTCATCTTTTTTGTATCTGGGTTACCTCACTCAAGATGGTATTTTCTAGTTCCATCTATTTGCATACAAATTTCAAGTTGTCATTGTTTTTTACTGCCGAGTAGTACTCTAATGTGTAAATGTGCCACACTTTCTTTGTTTTCCAGTTGAGGGGCATCTAGGTTATCTCCAGGATTTGGCTAAAGCAAACAATGCTGCTATGAACATAGTTGAACGAATGTTTTTGTACTATGATTGAACATCCTTTGGGTACATGCCCAAGAGTGGTTTTGTTGTCTCCTGATTCCCAATTTTCTAAGAAACCGCCATGCTGATTTCCAAAATGGTTGTTCAAGTTTGCATTCCCACCAGCAATGGATGAGTGTTCCCTTTACTCCACATTTTCTTCAGCATAAGCTATTATTACGGTTTTTGGTTTTAGCCATTCTGACAGGTGTAAGATGGTGTGTCAAAGTTGTTTTGATTTGCATTACACTGATGGCTAAGGATGTTGAACATTTCCTTAAGTTTCTTTCAGCCATTTGATGTCCTTCTGTTGAGAGTTCTCTGTTTAGTTCTGTACCCCATTTTTATTTGGGTTATTTGGAATTTTGATATCTAATTTCTTGAGATTTTTTTTGTTTTGTTTTTTCGAGACAGGGTATCTCTGTGGTTTTGGAGCCTGTCCTGGAACTAGCTCTTATAGACCAGGCTGGTCTCGAACTCACAGAGATCCACCTGCCTCTGCCTCCCAAGTGCTGGGATTAAAGGCTTGCGCCACCACCACCCGGCCTTGAGATTTTTATGTAATTTGGAGATCACTTGTAACAGGAGGAGCAGGGTGCTTGTCCTCCCGGCCGCCTAGATAGCTTACACCCAAAATAATCACACAGAAACTGAATTCATTTAAAAACTACCTGGACAATTGGCTCTAGTTTCTTATTGGCTAATTCTTACATCTTAATTTAACCCATTTATATTAATCTGTGTATCAGCACATGACTGTGGCTTACCTGCAAGATTCTAACCAGCGTCCATCTCAGGCAGGAGAACTATGGTATCTGCCACTCTGCCCTTCTTTCCAGCATAGAGTTCTGTCTACTCTGCCTACCTAAGTTTTGTCCTATCAACTAGGTCAAGGCAGTTTCTTTATTCATTATCCATTGACAGCAACACACAAACAGAAGGAATTCCTACACCAAACAGTCTTTTGTCTAATGTGGGGTTGTAGCCATTATTTTAAAAGTTGTGATGTTAAAACAGAGGAAGAATGTAATAGGAATAATTCAAAAGGAGGGGGAGGTATGTTAGTTTTTTAAAAGACAACATCGTGGTATATGTTGATCAATGCCTCCACATTTATATTTAAGCCATTGAAAAAAATAGTCAGAGAACACTAGCTGATTAGAGGCAAAGAAGATTGAAGGTCAATAAAGAACCTAAAGACAGCTCTAACATGGGGAGATAAGGGCATTGTCGAGGACCAATAATGAATGCTTCAACAGTTCAGCAATGGACTAGCCATAATCAGCCTCAGGAGGGTGTGGCAATGGGAAACTGCAAGGGATACAAAGAGGTTCTTTACAGAACTGATGCTAGGCCTGTTCTTCTGATACAGAAAGACAGGAGAGGCTGCTATGAATCTCAAAAGACTCACCCTTACAGTGGGTGATTTTAAGGATTTCAGATTGAATGTTCAGGGGGGAAGTTTGTTTACTTGTTTTATTTCTGAGTGTTTGTTGTTTTGGGACAGGGTCTCACTATATAGCTCTAGCTGTCATGGAACTCACTCTGTAGATCATGCTGGCCTCAAATTCACAGAGATCCACCTGCCTCTGTCTCCTGGGTGCTGGAATTAAATGTGTTTACCACCAAAGTTTCAGTGTGAATCTTTATATGTGCACTAAGCCTTCATTGCCACCCTGCCTTCTGGGAAATTTTGGTGTGGTCTAAAGCCTTGCCCAGTGCCATAGAACAAAATCGTCCCTGCTTGATTTCTACAGCACCTCTCTGCTTGCATTAATCTGTTATCTAACTAGGCAAAGCAGAGCAGTAAGGGGACACAGTGGTTACTGCATTTCCCATTGCTCTTTAGATGTCCTTTCACACCTCGGATCACTTTTAGACCTACTTTACCCCACTTATTGTCTTCTGTTAAAATGTCTGCCTTTTCGCGCTACCATCCCACACCAATTACTTTCAGAGAATTGTTTTAAAATGCCAAGTAGTGCTTGTCCTTCTGTGACAGATCACAGGGACCTGCCTCTTCCTCCAGGCCTGGGATATTAAGCCCCATTTATCACTGTTCAATAATCTTAAGTGTTGTTAAATGCTGGAAATGTTAGTGCGATTTTGAGCTTTCCTTACATCTACTGTAAATCTCCTTTGAATCTTCTCTGTATGTGATTCAGACTCTCAAGACCAGACGCTGTCTCAGGCCATCTGTCTGCTTGTGCCTGTCAGTCTTATGTGGTTCCCGTTCAGAAGCCTACCAAAATGCCTTGGTTGTACCCTGGTGACTTGGAACAGGGTGAAGATGCCTTGAGCAGACTGCAATTAAAAACATTCCAGCTCCAGTTCCAGAAGGTGCTCTACCTGCCAGGGTATTTGCAAATAGCTTTAAGAGGTTTTTGTCAGGTTTTGCATTTTGGCATTGCATCCCGGGGTATACACCTAAGAAGGCTCTACAGCCATTTTTCCCAGGTCAGAGGGCAACACTTGCCCTGGTGGTCCAGCGGGATGGCTGCTGTTGGTGCAGTTCACAACATTCCATTAGCATGAAGGGTTGTGAAGTTACTGATGCAAAGACATTTGCTGCACCCCCATTCCTGCTGTATGAGCTGGCAGCTTGCTTCTCTTTCTGGGTCAGCTTGCCCTCTGCTGTTGTAATGTTAGGTCCATTAGAAGAACATCCCTTGTGGTCTG